GCACCATTATAGGCCTAGGGGACACAGCAGTAAGAATCACACGGAAGTCCCTATACTCAAGGAATTTATATTCTACCAAGGAAGACAGACAAAACAAACAAACAAAATTAAACAAGTATAATGTAGAGCGCATCAGGTAAGTTCTATGGAGAAAAACAAAACCAGAGAGTGGAATAGAGAGTGTGGTGGGCAGGACCTGTTCTTCTTACATAGTGTACTCAAAGAAGGCTATATACTCTGCAGGTGATACTTAAGGAGAGGTACAAAGGAGATGAAGAATCCAACCCTGCATATATCTGGGGGAAGAGCATTCCGAGTAGAGGGGACAGCAAGAGCACAGGCCCTGAGTCAGGAGCATGCCTGGCACATTGGAGTACAGCCAGGACACCGTTGTGGCTGGAGTGGACTAACGGGGTGAGTGAGTAGTAGGAGATGAAGTCAGAGAGATGGGGCCTATTTGTTGCTTCTAAGGACTATAGATTCTACTCTGACTGAGATTAGAAGGCACTGGATTGCTTTGCACTGTGTTGTGATCACAGTTTCATTAAAAGAACCATGCCAGCCCAGCCAGCGTGGCTTAGTGGTTGAGTGTCGACCTATGAACCAGAAGGTCATGGTTTGATACCCGGTCAGGTACCACATATACCACATGACATTAGTAAGAAAAGCGAATTGGCAGCCTGTATATATTTCTGTTTTCTTTGGGGGAGATGGAAATTTCTACAGAGAGCACTGCAGTTTTGATATGGCTAATCTTCTTGCTCTGGCCTTTGATGATGATCAAAGTCTCGCTAATGTAAACTAATTGGAGACATTGGACATGCTGAGTTTTGATTATAAAATGAAATAATTTAATTGCTTTTATATGTACATTAATTGAATCTTTCCTGAGCTAATAATGACAACGTAATAGGCATGTTATGATTAGCTATGAGTAATTATACTTAGAATATTAAACATGGCTGGACTCTTGCTAGATCCCATTTTTACTGCAAAGAATGGGTGTTTAAAATAGACTTTTTTTTCCTTAGGAGTATTTTCATATTTACCTTACAATGTAATTTGAAATATAAGGATGGTTTGGACTACTGTTCATAAATTAGAAATGATGTTTTGTTTGGAGTTAGTTATATGAGTGATTGAATTGTTTTATAGTATTAACTTATTGGAGAGAGAGAAACTGTAAATTGCTATGTTCTTTAAATATAGAACAATATCATGGAAGTTATTAGGACACCATTTCTTTAAAGGTATTCAGAATATGAATTCCAATCCTAAGAGATTTTTTAACATATCAATTCCACTTATCTTTATTTCTGGAGCTTGTCAGTAAGCCTTGCACAAGCAGCAAAACAACAGTGACAGTGGTTAAATCTTCTTGGAATCACTACAGGACATGATCAGGAATCAGAAAACCTGAGTTATAATCCAGTCTCTACAACTAATAATGATTTTCTGATACGAGGCAAATAATTTAAATCTTAATTTCCTTTTATTTACATGCTTTAAAATATATAGTTACCAGAATAAAATATTAAGTATAAACTGAAAACATAAGGCCTTATTTTTATGTTACTATGGGTAATTTTAAACTAAAATCCTTTATGAATTTTTCCCCAACTAACTAAAGTTGAGAACAGGAAAGGTGAGCGATGGAGGGAAATTCTGACTTTTAAAAATTTAATGTAATAATTAAACTTGTCAACAAATAATTTGCCTATAATTTGAGTAGTGTCTAAATTGTATATAACTGGGTGTTATCTAAACTGTATATAACTTCAATTACACATAAGCTTTCCTTCCATCAGTTTTCCTCTCTTTTGTTGAGTTTTTGTTGGAACTATGCAAGAACAGAGGAGGAAAATAGAATTTTTTCAGTTCTATTTATGAAGACAACTGGTATCTCTTGCCAGTTATATTTCTGGGAAGGTGAAGTGATTGTACATAAAGTAGAAATGTCTTGAGATGACTGGCCTGGCTTTGATCCTACTGTTCCCATTAATCTTTCCTTTAGCTGGGGCTACTTCTTCTACATCTGTGAGTTTCGCTATGTCCAGGTTCCCAGACCAAATGCTTTGTATTTAGGCAAAATTTAAGAAACTCCAGACCAGCAGTATAGTAGCCCAGCCTTGTCAGTCTAGCAATTTATTTCCCTATTCTGGACCCAGCACAAGTTTAGTCACTAAAGTCCTGCCTTATTTAGTCATGCCTAAGTCTCTACTTCCTGCTCTGTCCTTTTGAATCAGTAAGTAGCCTTGCCCTTTACTTATCTAAATGCTTAAAGGGCAGAATTTTCTCCCTGTGCTCCAGTCCGCTCCCTGTATCTGCAACCTGATACCTGCTTCCATATTTTCCTGCGGTGCATTACTTTTAAGTAAGTCTGGATTTTACCAATGACAACTGCACCACACCTCACTCACCTCCCATACAGCTGCCAACTTCTCAACATTGATTGAACAGCCAGGGTCTGTTGGGCCTCTGCTTATAGAGGCCTTTGCCCACAGTTCTGTCACCTGCTTCTGGGACCTTCGGAGGTGGCCTACTAATCAATAGGTCCACCTAATCTCTACTTCCGAGTCCCCTGGACTAGTCAGTATGGGTCAGGTTCTAAAATGCCCCAGTGCAGCAACTCTTTCTTAAAGGTCTTCCTTACACAAAATTTCCTTCAAAGATGATTTTCTCATTAGACAGCCATGTCTCGTGCAGAAAAGGAACTCAGTGAATGTTCTTAGGCATTTGGTGCACTTACAAATCCATGGCGTGACCAGTATCTTTAGAACAGAAATTAAGAGAATCCAATGCACATTTACTTTGCCCCTCAAAAACCAACCAACCAACCACTGAATAAATGAAAACCATCCACCCCCCCCTACACCCACAACACCCCCAAACACAGAAGGATATAAAAATGATCAGCTAACTATGGTCATTTAAACAATGGAGCATTCTCATCAAAACTTAATCACTCAAGAATTGCACAACTTGTAATGACTAATGAACATTGGTCCTGGGCTTTGGTGGACAGAGAGATGAACAGAGAAAACTAGTTAATAATTCTGTAGCTACTAATTAATGCCTTCCTGTTTCCATAAAGAAAAAAGAGGTAGACACATGAATCTGATGGCCCCTCAAATTACCAAATGGTTACGTGAACTTTGGTACAGTTGAATTAATCCTTTAATGTTAAATGGGTTGATTTTTGTCATTTTTGAAAGAGAGTGGTATACTTACTTGCCATGGTAATACATTTGGAAGGGGCCTATTCTGGAGGTAAATGTAAATGGAGTCATATGTAGTTTGAAAACCTGTGGAACTGTTTGACATGTGACTATATTTCTAATGAAGAATGATTTGTTCCCACGATTAGTGGGCTTTAAAAAATTTTAAATAGAATCCAAAAGAAATACTCAATTTTATTTCTGTTTTAGACAAAACTATAAGACATATTTTAATGGAAAAGATAAGTATTAAAATGACAGAATTTAGGATGACATATTTAATTGAATGAACCCATTAAGAAGTTTATTACTGCCCCCTGCTGTCAGTTTCTAAAAGAAATATAGTCAAATTACTGTAAAGATTGACTTAGGGTGAATTAGTTGAACAAACTGGTTGGGAAAAAAATTCCCTGCCTCTAATTATACCACTTTTTAGCCAGTTATGCTAATGCTTACACCATTTTTGTGAGCAATGATTTGTCAAAACAAACAAACAACTCTAGCAAAGTATCTATTAGTGGATATGGGATGAGGAATAAAGTTTGTGTTTTGTGAAATACTATATCAATGCATTTTAGACAATGATGTCCTTTATAATTTCTCCAAATTTCATAATTTTGAATTTACTTTTTAATATTTATGTAATTTCGGTAAAACACTTCTCATTAATAAAAGCAAAACTTTGAAAATAAATGGCTTATTTTTTTTACAGTATAATCCTAGCTTGAAATGTTACTTTTATTTTGGCACATGAACTTAAGAACTGAGAAATAATAAAAAGAATAGGTGATGCCAACATAGAGCCACTAGTGCAAGGCCTTGTTTTACTCTTTCACATATTATTGTACTTAGGCATCATGAAATAGAATTCGGTAGGTATTACTAGGATTTCCATTTCACAGATGAAGAAACTGGGTTCCAGAGTATAACTTGCCTACTTGGTCAAAAGGTGGAGCCATGACTGGAAACCCTGGAGTCTGACTCCAGGATCCCTCCTCTTAACCTTTTGCACAAAAGGTATAAACTCTGCAATGAAGGAGGAAGAATTTATAGAAATTATAATGGACATGGCGATGCGTTTATTGATGCCAACTAACTGCACGCTCATGTAACTGTTACTCTTTTCTGGGCCGCAGGCTCTAGTGTGTGCAGCCTGTGCGCGAATAACAGAGCTGAAGCGCTCCCAGTTTGGTTTAATTTTGTTAGGAACGTTCTGCCCTCTTTGCTTGCACAAAGGCGTGTGGAAGTGATTATCTTAAGTGAAAATGTGCCGATTGAGCCCAGGCTTACACCAGATTATAAACTCAGTGGCTATTCTTGTGGTTGGCCTCGGTACACCTGTGCCTTTCGTCTGTGTATCCCCAGACAACTTGGAGCTTTAGCCACACTGTCGGCCGTCTTCAGCAACTCATTCAAATCAGGCCCACACTTTTCACAGTACGTTGAGTAACTCAGTTGCACATTTTAAGTTTCCCTGGCTGTTATGAATTCCAGAGTCCAATATAACGAACTGTTTGTACTCTCTATGCCTGTCCGGTCCTTTGCCTTCCCAGGGTATTAGGTGGTTCATGACAACAAATACTAGTATATCCCACCCACCAGGGACACGGAGGTCAACGGTATTTGCAATTCTGGGATGGCTTTTGCCCTGCAGGTACCTGAAAACAACACCTCAGGCTCCAGAGGGCTAACCAGACAGGAACCCTCTTCTCCCACATTAAAGCAAAATCAAAACTCAACACCACTCATTTGACCATTCAACATTAAAACAAACATTCTTACCTGACTCGAGGAGCTGGGTTTCCAGTGACTCGACACTCCAAATAAACTCTGCTTCCTTCTGCCACTTCTTGGCTCCGCAGCTTCTGGATGAAGCGAGGGGCCGAGGAGAAGTGGGGTGCGCTCTGGGGCTGGGGCTGAGGGATGCTACCGCCCGGCACCGCCTCGTCCCGGTCTGCCGGGTAGCAGGGCCTGGCTTCCGGCAACTTGACCTCCGCTTCCATTTCTTGCTGGTCCTCGGTGGGGCTCTGGCTGGCAGAGGCACTCCTCGGGGCTGACGGCTGATTTTTGGGAGAGAGGTACCCACTGTCTGGTGACGAGGACTCCCCGTTTGGGCTCCTGTTTCTCGGCTTGGCCGCTTCTCTAAATATGGATGTCAGCTCCTCGATGAAATTAGCCGCCTTGTCACACAGCTGGCTCTGGGGGCCAGGCTCACGCTGATAAGCCGGTGCGGGCTTTCCACCTGCGCCCGGAGTGGGGGCGCCGCGCTTTTCAGCCTTTCGGAGGCTCCGGATGTAGCTGGGTCTGGCGAGCAGGGGTGAGCGGGCAGGTTTCCTCTTGGAGCCCTGGGAGGAGAGCCCCTCAGTCTGCTCTGGCCTGTTATCCGGAGGTCTTTCCGAGGAGGTGGGCTCCCCCGATTTGGTCTCCTTGAGGGAAGGGTGTTCACAGAGGCCTGCAGGGGAGGTGCTGAAAATCTGCGAGATCTCCTTCTCCGAGTCACCGTCTTCTGTCTCGGAGTTGGCTATCGCTCTCCGGGCCAGGTCAAGGCTCTTGTTGATCTCTTCCTGGCTGAGAAAAGCGGAGAGCTCAGGGAAGAAGTCAGCACTCTTGCTTTCTTCCTGCATGTCTGATAGGGAATCATAGAAGGAGTCATGGGAGGAAGTCTCTGACATATTTGAATAGTCTTCATACACCCTGTCTGCTTTCCACAGGAAGGCCAGAGACACTGGAAATCAGGTTACTTCTGTTCTGAAAGACAACGTACACAGAATTGCTGTGAGCAGTAATGTTTTGTGTGTGTTAGCCTAATACTACTAATTTACAAATTGGGAGAAACATTAAGGTAAACAAATATGGGGGGGGGGTCCCCAAAAATGTATACCAACACTTTGAATAATTATAAAGGCAGAGTTTATTAAAATGTATTTCCTTTTCAAAATTGAGCTCTCAGCTGTTAAAGTGTGCATACATTTCTTGGGGGACACCCTGTATACAGTTGACCCTTTAACAATATGGGGCTGAACTGAGTTTTTTTTCTTTCCTATTTAGATATGGCCTGCCCTACCTATTCTCAGTTTGGCATTTGCAGATTGAACAAACCTGTGGTGAGAAACAGCTTTTTCTCATTCCCAACTGTAGCTGATTCCCAACTATAGATTCCCAAAAGCAGATTCGCAGCCGCAGACTGGAAAAGACTGTTTTCTATCCATGGTTGGTAGAGTCCCCTGATGCAAAGGTCCAACTGGAGTTGAGTTTTGGGGAAGTCAAAAGTTATTTACGAATTTTCAACTCCAAAAGAGGAGAGGTGTTGGCTCCCATAACCCCCATGTTGTTCAAGAGTCAACTGTAGTGTTTGAAAAACAATTTTAATCTGTTCTATTAACTAAGAAACATTAAGTGTACTTGCATTTACCATCTTAATTTAATATTTGCCCTGCAAGTGAATATTGAGTATGTTACTAACCAGCATTGAATAATTCAAGAAGATGGTATTTATAGTAGGCGCTATAAGTGACTATGAGTGTAATAGGGCATTCTCAGAGCCTCCTTCCCTTCCCATTCCTATATAGGCCTTATGAAAACTCTAATTATGTTAATGTTAGGAGATTAGTAACTTACTGATATTTTTAGTAAATTTGACCCTGTTTATAAAATAACCACAAAGTACATTTTGATTCCAATCTTCATTTATTTTAAGCTTTCAATGAAATATTTGAAACCTTATTGTTTCATCCTTTTCTTTGTTCAGCCATGTGCTTTCATATTCACTAATTCAACAGTTAATTTAACACATAGTTAATAATCACTTATAAAGTTTCAGGCGCTAGAGGTGTAGTCATGCTCTAACTGGGATTGGCAAACTGTAAAAGCCAGATAGTAAATACTTTTGACTGTACCATCTCTATTGTAACTCCTTAAATTTGACATTGGAATATCAAAACAGCCATAGAAATACATAAGTAAATAAGCATGACTGTGTGGCAATAAAACTTTATTTATGGACACTAATATTTGAATTTTATGTTTTACGTGCCAAACACATTATTTTTCTTTTGAATTTGATTTTTTTATAACAGTTTAAAAATGTAAAAATATTCTTAGTTTGCAGGCCATGCAAATACAGATGGTAGGATGGCTTTGGTATAGCAGCTGAAGTTTGCCGACCCTTGATCCAGATGGCTAACACAATCCTTATATTTAAAGAGGTAAAAGTCATGTGGTATGGTAAAGATGGGGGATTGGAGAATACATTAAACAAATAATATATAAATAACCTAGAATTTGGTTAGGGTGTCAAAGGAAAAGAGCTTGGTTGCTATGCGAGCCTATCTTACTGTCAAAGACATGTGAGAGAACTATGTGCCCTGAATAGGAATGTTACCAGCATTAAATAAAAGGTGTTTCGACACCTGCCAAATAATTGGGCATCAATTTAACTTCCACTGCATTTTGAACTAAATATTGTGAGGGAGTGACTCTCTCATTACTCTAAGTGTACTGCCCTTTTTCTACATATTGTTCATAGAATGATAGAGGGAAGACCTAGAAAACTTGGCCTGGATGGTGTGGCTCAGTTGGTTGGGCATCATCCCATGCACTAAGAAGTTGCTAGTTGGATTCCAGGTCAGGGCACATGCCTGGATTGTGGGGCGATCCACTGTAGAGGGCATGCCCAGAGGGATCCGATTGATGTTGCATCGATGTTGCTCTCTTATCCCTTCCTCTCTCCAAAAATCAATAAACTAGTCTTTTTCCTAAGTAATTTTGCCTCACAGTTGAGTCTGGAAATCAATAAAAGGAGGCTTGCTGGGTGTGGTGAAACTCAACTGGGTAAGCTGGGTGGGAGTGAACTTGGTGAGACATTCGTTCTCAGAAGTTAAGTATGCCTTGTGAGGCTAGAATGGAACTGCTTGTTTAGAAGCAATTTCCCATCTAGGGATTCTGCCTAGAGCAGTGGTTCTCAACCTTGGCTGCACATTAGAATCCCCTGGGAATCTTTTTAAAATCCTGATTTCTGTGCCTCATCCTCCGGAAATTGTTTCTTTGTTACTAATGTTGTGGCCCCACCCCATAACAACGAAACAGAATTTCCGGAGGATGAGGCCCAGAAATCAGGATTTTAAAAAGATTCCCAGATGATTCTAATGTGCAGCCAAGGTTGAGAACCATTGGCCTAGAGTAATGAGATTTTCTTTTATTAAGTGTAATGTTATTTTCTCTCACATGACCCAAGAGAGTCAGCTTGCATTTTTTTGGCCCCTGAAAGTCCCTAATCTCAAAAAGCATTACATAGAAGGTCCCAGAAATGCACCTCGAGGACCTGCTGCCACATAAGGATGATTCAAGGAATCTACTAATTCAGCAGAAGGTTTGTAACCAGAGATCCTAAAGCTCATTAGGAACCTACTATATCTCCTTTAGTTGAATGTTACACTTGCATCTTAGATGTCCACTTAGAAAGATGACTCACTTGGTTGAGCCTGAATTATGAGATTCTCTACATTCTAGTCCTACTCTACCCACTGAACCAAATTTCCCACTGTTGTCCAAGTAAATCTTATAAATCCATTAGAGTGGTCTCATCATTGCCCGCCTCTTTATCAACCCAAACATTACTCTGATTCCTTTGTTCAGTCTGTGTTCCCCAATGGAACCGTTCTGATTCCTCAATAATTCGTTAAATATAGCCTATTATGGAGAATAGCTATATTCAATGTATTTTGAATATTTGAGTATGTTTTGTTTTCATCCATTTTTTTTCTACCGAACTCAGTACTGATAGAGATTGGGGAACATTTTAGTACTGAACTCAAGGGGTCCACCACTTGGGGTGCTCTATTAAAAATCAAGACATGGTTGTCACAAGGTAGTTTAATTTTCTTGCAGCAAGTAAAGGAGACAAGGAATTCATATCCACACCTCTGCCTCCCAGAAGGAGGCTTAGCCATTGTTGGTATACACTATTTGGTCAATTGCGTGTTGATTTCTTCTTTTTGAAGTTGGTTACACTTATCAGGTTGTGTTCCTTTCAGCTTATCTGGTTTACAGCTGGTCTGCAAAATACCGTGTTACCTTTTCACTTTTAGCAAAAATAGCCTTTAGTAAGGATGGCCCAAACCTTGAGACCCTTGTCCTATCTAACGATTTTGTGTCAACCGCACCTGGAGCTAAGCTGAAAGTCCAGGTAAATATTGAGAACAAAACCTTTGATTCTGAAGTGATTAACTTTTGAAACAGACTCTGGAATAGATAGACCACATAGAAGAGAATTCCCCATTCAAGATATGTTTGTGGAGTATCTAGGAGGACATGCCAAGCAGTGTGCTAGGCACTCAGATATAATTTGGAAAAGACAAGGTTTCTGCCCTCATTGAACTTAATAGTCTATAAAGGACGCAAATAAGTAATAAACATGTATGCTTTAGTAGTGTGTCAAGTGCTGTGGCGAGAGAACAAAGTGCTATGTTAGCATCTAGAAGGGACAACGGGGCACAGAGCACACCCCTGGCAGAGCACAATCGCATTTTTATCCTCCTGTTCCACCGTGGACAGATATCACAAGCACCGGTAGATCTGGCACCTTCTGTCTGAAGTCTCCAATTGCAACTTTTTTCTTCTGAGGCTTTTTCTTCCCATCCGCCACATCGCTGTTGCTGGCGGCTGCCAGAAGAGTAGAGGCCAGCCTCCAACAGCCGCCTCCCCTGCCGCAGCTCTGCAACCCTCAGCTCCTCCGGAAGGGGCCAAGATGGTATTAAGAGTGGAGCCGTTTTCCCTTTTTGCTTCTGCCTGTGCAATATGGCACAGTAATGTCTCCATGGAAAATGGCCTTGCTAGAAGGCGGGGCTTCATGTCCTTGCGCATCTGGAAGTGCCTACTTATCCACTGGGCGGTGGCAGCGTGTGCAGCCTCAGAGGCGCTGCAGCTGCAGCACGCCTGGGTCACAAAGGATCCTGGGAAGCAATCGATGAAGCGGCGGCTCAGCCGCAGAGTCCTGTGCACCCTGATGCCCTCTTTGCACGGCCTGTCTGGGGAGACCATGACTTTGCTTTCCAGCACCTGCAGCTTTGGGGTCCCCTTGGATTGCGGCAGGGTGTGGACCACATCCTGGAGCTTTTTATCTTCCTCGGCAGGAGTGCAATGCCCAGTGCGGGCAGTACCAGTGTGTAAGTAGTAAACCCAGGGAAGGTGGTTTTGGGTTTGAGTCCGGCATGAGGTACAAAAGACCATGTCGATACAGGAGGTCCCAAAAATGTATACACACTTTGAATGATTATAAAGTCAGTGTTATTAACATACAGTTCATTTTCCAAATTTAAAAGCATTTACAGAAATTTTTGTTTGTTTGTTTGTTTTGGTCAAGGCACTGCTGATAAACCAAAGCAATGGAATCACAAACATCAAGAATAATTTTGTTCATTTTTTTGTGTGGCATTCGTTGACTGTCGCCGGTTTTGTACCATAAACTTTATCTTTTCTGTGTCCCCATAATAAATAGTCTGGTGGCACTTTGGGATAAATTTTTTTTGTTCAAAGCTTAGTCAGGCTTTACCCATTATTTCAAATTAGTTAAACCTGAAAAGGATTGAAAATTAAGTGAGTTATCAGCTGTTAAAGTGTGTATACATTTTTGTCATTCCAGACGCAGCACGGACGTGACCCTGTGTCATCGGGGATGACCTTGGAAATAGTTCTGGTTTTCCCCCCAGTGCAGTGGTCGGCAAACTCATTAGTCAACAGAGCCAAATATC